GTAGCAATAGCTTTAAATTTTTTCAAACAAGATTAGATGATCAAGTACACAAGAAATTGATGATAAACACTACAACCACAATGAATTAAACAATTGCAATAACTTAACAAATTTCATGTGTTTATGATATCACACACGATGAATCAACAAGAAATGTTTGAAATTTAGTGAATTCTACTTTAATGTAATCAGAAAGTCTTTGATGAAGAAAAGTTCATGCATGTAACACAATGGTTTAGAGAAAAGTTCAGTCGCAAATGAAATATAAACTCTGAAGATGAGTTAATTTGAATGGTTATTCTCTCCCTTATATAGATACTTCAAACATATACACGAAGATAAGAGCTTCTCTCCACCATCCAATTCTCTCCTAATGAATTGGTGACATGGCGGATATACCTAATGAGAACACGGATTAGTGGCGTGTTGCTTCCAACTACCACACTCAATCCTTACCTAACAAACAAACGAAGAGATGATGTGTCAGTTCCACCTAACAGACTAACTAGCACACGGATTGCTATTGTGACACTGTAGATATTTCACTATAATCTACTATATCCAATCTTGATTGATCTTTACTTTAGTCTAAGTAACTAAAGATGGTTACAATGCATCATGACGAGGATCAGCATCAAGATTTGGAGGTGAGTTTGACAAACATTGATTTTGGATTTGCAAGATTGATATATAAATAATAAAATGGCTCAAGAAATAAAGTTTTGTGATAATTGTCAATGTTATGCATGCGGAAGTATGAATCATGTTGCTAGGTTTTGTCAAAATCAACTAGAATCACATGAATAACGTCACATAAAGCAACAACCTTTCAACAACATGGAGTACTATAGTACGATGTGGTGTTAGTTTCACTTCGGAAAGCATTCATTTTGATCATTAAATAGTCTTTAGAGTAAACTGTTCCGAGTTTGTTCCCATCAAGACCTACAGCATCCTTCTTATTAGACAGGAAGCTACCTGTTCCCTTCCAACCCTCATCCTTCCGGATGACTTATCGTTATGTCAACTTTCCATATGATCACTCTCTACATCGATAATCATCCGAATACTAGCTACCATAAGGTTATTATCCAACTATTACAAAAAAAATTATCCAAGTGGTTGGTTACCACTAATACTTTTATGTTTAGAGTGGTCGGATTCTCCGTATGAATGTGACTTAAAGTGGCTAGACACCCATCGATTATATTTTAACAACGCGATGGTATATATTTTGTATGTCTACTCTTGTCCGACTTGATAGCGTATACATGAACAAAATTCTAGACTACAACGATCTTTTGGTCCGGTTGTAAGTAATTTTCCTATACTTTTAACCTTCGTGGATGATTTGTAGTCAACAAGTTAGGCTTTTGTTTTATTGTTTGAAAAACATTGGTCTAATTCAACGTAGGCATTATAATTGCGTTTGAATTCAAATGAATACAAAAAAATCTTAGTGAAACAATTGATTATAATATATTTATTGAAGTATTTTATTCAAGCCTAGAAAGAGTGAATTGTTGAAATAGATTTTTATATAAACATATGCCACATTCTTCTTTCTCATAGTTTTATATTGTAATCATGATAGAAATTTTATCCTCCCATTACACTTGAAACTGTTACTATTGGATGGTATCATGTTGGCAATAGTGACTTATTGTTCTTATTGAGTAGATTTACAATATTCAAACTAATAGTTCTAGAATTTTAGTTTTTTCATAAGAGATGACATTATTGGAAGATTTAATTATATATTTAATAATAAACAGTAAGTGTGTTAATTGATAGCAACATGTCATCAATCCATGTACTTGTTAAATAAAAATTGGCTTTGTTAATCAATGTGTTAGTTCAGAGAATCACGTCATCAATCTGTATGTTTGTTAGAGTTATTTGACATGAAATTAATCTACTAGAAATGGAATGGAAGATGAAGGTGAAAACTTATTTCCTTTTACTTTTTGAATCTAACAAGATCTACTTTGATCTTGATCAAGTTGTTCTATGAGAACAACTTGATTCAATATACTTTTATACTTTATCCAACATTTGATTCTTGAAATATTCAATAGTCGCAATCCTAGATTGATTATTTTTAACAAGATGTAAATGATTTTAAATTCATCAAGCATTAAAAACATGAACAAGCTCTATTTGAAATCTATACATCACCAACATCCTTTGATGAATACTGTAGCATAAGGTATATCTTTGGCATCACAATCCTTCGTCTAACAAATCATCATAGTCAAGATCAAACTCTTGAATCACATTGACTAACAGAAGATCAACCACTTTGATACTCACACGAGAGTACTTCTTGACATAATCACTCTTGTCATATTTTGAACACACCACCAAGAAATGAATCCCTAGACTTGAATCTATCTTTAGAACCAAAATTTTTGTCATCTTTGTTATTTTTTGAATATGTAATATCTCAAATCAAATAGTGATATAATGAAAAAAAATCATGCATAAAATAAAAATATCATTTTTGCTATAAATAATTTGTCAACATGACACTTACAACATTTAAAATATTATTTTCATATTATTTCAAAAAAGCCACATGGCAATGATTGATAGAAGTCGTGCAATGAACTCAATATATGAAGAGATTTTTTCTCATGAGATATCTCTTTTCAAGATTCTAAATATTAATGACAAAATCATTGAACGTACTGATGTGATTTTGTATCTTTTTATCAAAATCTTTAAGCAGATTTTGAACTAGCATACGATCTATTTGAAAGCTTTTTGAGATGAAACTAGTGCTCAAGAATTTTAAATTATAGAGTATATTTGTTATACTCATACATTTGTTTCAAAATCAAAGATTTTAAAATAACTCTAAACACTCTTAGATCAAGATAGTAAACATATTCATCACATAAACAAGAAAAAAAAGTTGATTGTAGATTATTGGCTTTTCATAAATAAACACAATACAGTACCAGTACACACTACAATACTTGGTTGATTGCGTTGGTTGACCCGCCCCTCTATTAGGCTTGGGTCGCTGATTGCAACGCTGAGTGCACAGGCTGATGTGCACTAGATGCAATGCTTCTACACACGCTGGTTCAGGAGTGGCACGTTGTTTCCCAACTCAAAGCAACAAAATGCAACAATGCACTCGTTCGATCAGAACCCAGCTACCAGTTAGCTGTTGGTGCTCACAGCACAACATGAAGAGCTGCACAACGTGCCCGCTCAACAAACAGCCCAAATTTACGTCCGATACTACACCGGTTTGCATCTCCACACTCCCGAGCTCCAAGCTCGTAGTCGAGGACAGACCGCTCTTTTCGGAATTATAAGCAATCGGGGTAGCGCAGCAGAAGCGTGGTGGGCTCATAACCTGTTGATCTTAGAGCTTACAGTATTTGAACACTTGACAATGTCACCAGAGAACTAGCCTTATAAAGGGAGAGTAAGAATGACGCCAAACTTCCGGCAACGTGTCACAAAAGTACCGACACATGTCACTCTCGCAAAATCTTTCACGGAAGACATATGTACAATCAACGATACTGAATAGTCCTTGCCGTCCTATGTCGTATCTTAACAATATCTTACAAGTTCATGTGAGGCGATGGCAAACTTGGAGTTGGAGCTGACGGCCGTTTTGCGTAGGTTAGGCTTAAATCGGAAGTCGGATAGCAAGGCAACTGGACTCTATGTACGTTATGCTTGTTCGGAGCTCGCATTAGAGCGAATGACATTTGGGTGTTAGTTAGGAATAAAGGAGCTCAAGGCTTCGGCCTCGGGAGAATTCTCGACAGTTAGTTTTTTCAGTTTTGAGCCTGCATTCTTCGCACGTCTATGTATTGAGAGTGTTGTCACCGCGCAAAAGGTACTTCGGTTTGTCGAAGATACCGCATCCGAGGTAGTAGCCCAGATTCAAATGCTCTGAGTAGCAATTGGCTAAATCAGGATTTAAGCAAGTTCGTAATTGAGAGCTTCATGCAGTTCCTGAGTGTACACTTCAAGAATTTTCTCCCCTGAATACTAAGACAGGATCGTGATCGACCTATGTGATGTTGGATTGGAGAATTTCAAGATTGATGTGTGATTTACGCTGCATTGTGACTACTTCGGATTTAGTGCCTGCAGTATTTTTGGGAGTGACAATTGACTGAGAATTCAAAATCGTCAACAAACACTCAATTCAAATACGTGACACTTGTTGCTCTTTGTGTTGTTTTTTTCCTCGTGGAATCGGGTCTTTAACATTATGATGCATTTTGGTATTTATCTGTCATTACATGAACGCTTTTGATTTGGTTTTTTTTTTGTATAACCTTTGAAGAATATGTTATGAATGGATTGTAAATGCTTCAAATGATCTTGCATCCAAAACTTAGACATATATATCTAAATCCATTGACTTTTAGAGCCTTGTCACAATGTTTGTGTTCATCACTAGACTCAATTTACTCAACATCTACAAGAGTAGCATTGTGTATATTTTCACCTCTTGGTTTGAAATACCGAACTTGAATCAAAAATATCTCACAACATATCGTTGATTATATGTACCAATATGTTTGGAAAAGATTTATAAACTCTATTCATTATGTTTGCATGTTTTTATTTCTTTTGCAATAACTAACTTAGTATTGATTGAAAGTTTTGATAGAAAGATATTGGAGCATTTTAAATCTAATGCTAGAAAAAAGCGTCAAACCATTATATATTTGTATACAAATATTTATTAATTTCCAGCTAAAATCAAGAAGTGGCATGGAAGAAAATAAGGTTTGCATGAGTCATATCGTGGTGTCTTTTAAGTCAAAAATGGCAATACATTTGAGTTAACGAATTGGAAGCATAGACGGACTTGTCAAACTATGATCATGGAATTTTTATATAAGCATGCAATTCAACTTTACTTTGCAAGATGAATTTCACATCTTGAATTTGGAATTGATACTGTAAGGTCATGCAAGAAACTTCAGTCACATACATTAAATAATTATCACAAATTTGAGCCTTAATATTGATCAATTTATATCCTTAAAACATATATGATGGATAATTTCCAACTAGTTTGTTTGCTAAAACTTCTGAAGAAATCTCGAGCTTGTATTTTTTCGTTCTAAAAAACGAACAATTCCACCTTATGATATCCAACACCTACCAATGGAGATCTCATAAAGTTCCATCGCCATCGGTAAGGGCTGTAGGGAAGCACGGGAAAGAGTTTATTTTAGAGGATTATTACTAGTGGCAAACTTTGGGGTAGAAATCTAACTAATAAAGTATTTTCAAAACACAAGCGACAAAAATTGAACATTTTTCGTGGGGTACCAGCGTTGATTAGTGACTATATGCATATACGAGACGATGCTACCTAGATTTAATCTATTATACAAGTTAATATACTCGAATGCATTCCACTCATAAATGTTAGTTTACATTAATTATAGAATGAAGATTTATGATAGCACTCCCGGAGATGTATACATTCAAGTGGAAAGCCTTAGACTCGTTGAATACACCTCCTCGATTGGCATCGCCGAGTTACTGGATGAGTCACCATCGTCTTGCTCTGCACTTGGGCCTCCCATCGAACCTTGCGTAAAACGTAAAAAAATTCCTTTCTTTAAGATACGGGAGGATCCCGGACCTTCACACGCTCAATCGTGTCAGAAGGGGAAGTCCTCCAACGCACAGCAGGACCTGTACCCTATTGTGTCTATTCTCACGTCTGAACCTCCACCTGCAAGAATAGACACTTATCAAAGGTACCGTATTATGTCCCCTCGGGTACACATGGGAAGAAGTGCCGATGCACCATCGATCTGGTCTGCTCGAGCGCAGGTACTCGAAAATCACACAAGGCCCTTGTACGAGTACTCATGACTCATAAGCCGCCAATGATTCAGGGCAGTCTGATGATAACCATGCTGTGTGTGTAGTTCAAGGAAACCCAGGTTTCACTGCAGGTTTGCTGCTGCTCCGCTCGCCCCGAAGGTACGAGGCAGCCAGCACAGCAGCTACGCCAGATGATTGTCATCTGTGGATTTTATTTGGTAGGGCCGCTAGCCTTGTGCGGTGGATGGATAAACACACGCAAAAGGTACTGGTGCTGTACCCTCGAGCCACGGTAGGGTCATGGGCCGTGACTCACTTTATCGGATGGCTTGCACCCCCAACTGCTGGCGTGCAATCACTGTTGGGCTGCCCACTCTCCTCCTCATCCTCCTCCCTCCCTCCCTCCCTCCGTCCCTCCCTCCCACCTCCTCGTCCTCCTCCCCCCCCTCCCTGCGGCTCTGGCAGCAGCACTCTTCCGTTGTCCCGTCCTCCCGATCGCTGCATGGTGGCAGCATGGATGCCGGTCACAGAAACGCATTTGAAACTCTACTCGTGTCACCGCTCTTGCTCCTCTCGCCCTTGTCTCCCGGCCTCGCTTTTTGTCAGACATATTCCTGGGTACATCTCCAGGAGCTTCCCAACTTTCAAGGACGAAGACGACGACGACGGCGACGGCGACAGGCAGTATCTCGCCGCTCTGCTCTTCCCTGCTGCATCGACCAACTACCGGGGCTTGCTTGCTCCTCCTGCTTCTCCTGCAGCAGTAGTCTCATTCAACGGCACCACCAGGCGTACATTCAGCCCTCTGTCCATTTCCCATGTGCGATCTACAATTTGACCCGAAGACGACAAAAGGCACTGTAACCTTTTTAATCTTCGACATGAAATTTCACGACCGACCGAGCGACCGAGCAGAGCGGTTTGTCTTCTTTAATGAGTACAAGCTTGATGTCATGATCAATCTCCAGCCTTCAAGCTCCTCAGATTTGTTGTACTGAGCGAGTGGCGAAAGTGAAATCAGGCGCAGCATATCCCCTGCAGATTAGCTTTCTCGGATAGGATCCGTTCCCTGTTCCGGGTTCGAGCAGCGGTTTTCAAACCATCAGACGCAGGATCAATCTGACCTGCGAGCCCACCTCATAAACCCCAGAAGTTGAACCAGATAACAGCAGCCTCTTTTCCCCGGCTCCAGAAGGGTTGACCACGGAATGTAATGCTGGAAGGTAATGATGGCCAAAGAATCCCAAAGGAAACCATGAGTTCGAGCTCGGAGCAGATATTAACACCTGGACTGGTAATTGACTTTGTCGGAGGTAGAATTACACCGTGCGAGAGAGGAATTGACGTGTAGACTCGTCGGTGGTGGTAGTGGTGGCGGAAAGAATGCTTGGAAATTCTGTGTTCCAGCCTGAGCGCATATCGTTAATCGAGACCGTCCTCTAGTCTCGCGCCTTCGAAGACTCGAGTCCAAAGCAATTCTGCAAGTGCACGGTCCGAGCAATCCGGGGGCGGGCGTCCCGTACGCGTTCGGGCTGTCTCTCATGATGCAGACAGCGTGTCTCTGCATCCCGGCAGCTGCTGCGTCGGTCGTCGAGCGGTAGTAGGAGTGGTGATGTTGTGGCGAGCGACGAGCTGGCGAGAAGAGTTGATGGGGCGTACTGTGATCGAGCGAGTAGGTGATCGGTCAGTGTGATTGTTCCGAAGGTCGTGCTTGAGTGTTTGGAAGCGCAGACATGCCTGATCATTGGACCACAATTTGTTAGTCTCGCTGATTGATGGAAGCAGCATCTCGTGCAGTATATATATGCAGTGCATGTTTAAAGCTTCTTTATCTTTTCCAGCCCCATGATGCATCTCTGTCTACCCCGTTCTGCACAGCTTGCGCGTGCTCATGTCCGAATGATGAGGTTTGACCGTCTCCGTAATATGATATGCATTATGAACATGACAGACTCGATGTAAGCAAAACAGAAAGCTTAAGGATTTTACAGACTTTGATCTTGTGCTCGAGAATGTGTTCATATTGCCTCGACATGAATCAATGCAGACCTCTGCAGCACTTAACAGTTGCCCAAAATCAATGCACCTCATCTAACCACTGCATAATGTAACTGATTCATTCAATCACCCAAGAATGGCAGATGCGAATTTTGCTTGCTGAGATGAACAAGTGCAGTCAAAGGACCGTGACTAAATGCACTTCTAGCAATTGCCCCCGACTTCACTCTAGCGTGAACATCACCAGAAAATAACAAGCCAGTGCAGACTTCTAGAAATTCAAGGAACTGTCAACAAATGAAATATCTACCTGTCTCGACAGACAAGGACTGAGATTCACAGAGGAGGAGAATGACAGAAACGAGGACTGATTTTGAAGATCTCGATGTTTATCATTACAAGGATTTTAAAAGCTATGGTACAAAGGAGAAGCCGACAACAACCTGTCGAGTTGACTCCTACGGGGAAATATCACTCAAACGTTTATGATTCAAGACATACAAAACAGCCAGCACATCCATGAAGGCCTTGATCACCGTGTCTTCAGTTTCTGGACCAGTACATTGAAACAGCCAGCACACGGACTCCTGGATCGGACACCTCGGTAGTTGTCTAGTCGCAATTTCACACAACGTTCTTGAAGCATAGGAAGTAGGAAGTAACTGATAACACATAGCCTGACATCACCACTAAGTTACATAGCAATCGCCCGTGCGCCTGACTCGCAGCATCTAAGAATAGCGAAATTCTTAGCCCTTCGAACCCTGGTCCATCTCTCGCTCTCTTTCTCTCTATCTCTCTTTCTCCGGCCAGCTCTGTCTTTCTATGCAGCTTCACTCCGCACTTCTTCTGTCGACACCGTCGGCGTCCGGACCTCTCGGTCATGGACAGATTTCTGTACTACTGCATATATGTCCCGCTCAACACATCATCGGTCATTGGCTCCACCGTCTCAGTAGCGCCTGTCTCTCTCGTCCACGTAATCCGACTGCACATCACCCCACAGCACACGCACTCACATCTCAGACGACTGGACCAAAAACTCATTTTGTTCGAATTGCACCATAAATCGTGTCCAACCGACTTACCTTCCTGCACTTCAAATCAGACTAAAATCTTGCAATTTCCGAACAACAGGGTAACAATATGCGGCCAAGGGAGAATGGTACAGCTGCGATATACAAAAGCGACCAAAATTTTTACGCACGCACAGCGACCACGGAGGAGATTCTAGCCTACGATACAGCTGCAAATCAAAACAGAAGGAGGACCACTTTAACAGTTCTCGGTGTCAGATTCTCGCTTCTGTCAAAAAAGCGCAGTTCATTCATTATTGCCAATGTGAGACCGAAAGTCCGGAACAATCAGGAATCAGAGGGAGATGTACGGCAATTGCCGTGTACCGAACCTCGAAAGAACTCTGGAATTGACAATACTTGGACTGGTTCGAGAACATCATCGACCAAGCATGTAAGACGTTCGTTCGTTGGGTCAGATCAGATCAGATTTCAGGAACAGAATCAGGCAGATCAGAGTTTAGGAGGAGCAACGCACCGAGCCGCCCTCGTAAGGCCGACGACCGTAAGTGGAAGTGGCGCCGTTGTAAGGAGGGGCGTAGGCGGCGGGGTAGCTGTCCTGGCGGCCGTAAGGGCCGGGCGGGGGCACGTCGTACTCGGGCCCGGTGAAGCTCTCCTGGCGGCCGTAGTGGATCTTGCCGGGGTCGGCGCGAGCATAAGTGGACCCGCCGGAGCTGACGGGGAAAATGCGCTCGACCACGGTGCCATCGCCCTCGACCTTGCGCTCGATCTTCACGGCCGGGGGGCGCTCGACGCCATAGCGGCGCCGGTACTCCTCGCGCTCTCGGTAGTCCTCGCTGTAATCCTCGCCGTGGGGATGGTCGCCGGCGTACCTGCGCCGGTATCGATCGTCCTGGCCCGCGTAGCCGTCGTCGTCGCTGTCGGATTCGCGCGACTTGTGATGCTTATCGTGCTTGTCGTAGCCGCTGCCGGCGCCGACGTACTTCAGGCGCCCGTGACTGTCGAGCACATAGCCTTCCGGCACGACGGGCGGGTACTCGGAATACTCAGGCCTCACCGGCGGGTACTCGGAGTACTCGGGCCTCACCGGCGGGTACTCAGAGTATTCCGGCCGATGCGAGCCGTGGTGGCTATGCCTGTAATTCGGATGGCGGCTGTCGTGCTCGTGGTAGATCTGCTCGATGGCTTCCACCTTGCGCCGCTCTCCTTCGGGACCTTCGTATCCCAGCTGCGCTATGGTCTGCGCGTCCATCTCGGTGTGCTTCGGGGGGCTGCCCAGATGCTCGAACCCCACGGGCTGGCCCGTGTACTCGTACGCCCCATACGAGGCCTGCCCGTAGCCTGGACGGTGCGCGTATTTGCCGTGTCGATCATATCCCTCGTCCTCGTCCTTGTGGTGCCTGCGGAATCCGGGGATGATGTTCTCCATCTTCTCTTCGTCTGCCTCGAGATCTCCTTCTCAAGCTTTGCTCTCTGCAATCCAATTCGACGCTCGCACAGGTCAGTAAATAGAACCTCGATTTGTCAGGCAGGCAGGCAGGCAATCAGGCGCTCAGTCTCAGACTCAATCTTCCTTCAACACCGCACGAAGAGCAGCATCCTCTACAATGTCTCTCGGATCACGAGTACGATGATCACTCCTAGCGTTATGCACGAGCTTGCAGCGACGACCGGGCATACATCGCGTTGCAGCAGACACGAGGGAAGACGAGGTGAGGAGCTTCTGCGAGGTCACATGGACGATACGATACGTATCGTAAATTCTGGGAATGTTGGACCACCCGAGACAGCGCACGAGACGACCCGGTGACAGTGTCGGCCACTCGGTAACGTAAACTACTGAAGAAAGACAACCCAGAGGCAGGTGGCATCAGAGCACGAGAAGTCCACAGAAATTTCCTTTGCATGGGCCAGCAGCAGACCGACCAACGGACACTCCAAACCACTGAAGTCATCGTCAGAGATCTACGGCTCGTGGTACACGCATGGAGTCTGTCGCTCTGTCTCCTAGAACGAGCAGACATTCATTCGACTACTTCTTCCCCGGTGCAAAAATTCGCACTCGCTGACGTAAACTGCTAAATAAAGTACCCCCGTCTCGCATGCTCCTCGGTGATCAGTGGACCCAACGCCGTGCTGAAAACGGACCCTACTCGAAAGACACGGATCCGAGGACGAGGCACTTCCAATCGATGAATGGCATGTCCGAGAATTTCGCAGGTCCGAATGGCAATTGGGTCTAGCAACGAGCTCGAGTGCTCAGAAACCTTGAAACGAAAGCACAGCGAAGCAAAGCACAACAATTTTGGAAATCGCAACGGAGAGAGCGTTGATTGCACCAGTGTTCCTAGACTTCCCCGGACCGACAAGTGGGAGAAAACGAGCCATGGTGACAGAATTGCGCTCGCTCACGAGTGAGAGAGACAGACTTACTCTGGAGATGTTCGACACCGAAGTCCTCACAGAGCATGCATTTACGATGATTTTATGTTCAGAGACGCCTGAGCGAGGAGGCTACAGCATGAGGAAGGCAAATGAACCCGGTCCGAACCGGAAGGAGAGAAAAGGGCAGGGAGGAAAGCGAGGAGTGAGGAAAAGGTGAATTACATCCGAGTACCTGTAGGCTGCAATCAATTGCTGTGGAGTGTGCTGAAGGCCACTGCCCTGAAAAGTGTGCAAGCTATAAGAAGAGAGGATGGGGCCCTTGACTGCAGAAGAAGCTGCCGAGACCTCTGCTGCAGGAGGCCTGTAAGTCAATAGTGCTAAACTAAAGCAACAGCAGCATAAACCAAACGGAACCAAAGAATCGCCCGGGGGTCAGGCGGGGTTTGTCAAGGTGACACCACCGCAGTCAACTGTGGGGGTGAAATGATGGCCAGCGACTGGGCTAGATATACCAGACCTAGCGTGAGGCGCAAAGCAAGGACTCACTCACTCCAACTTCCTTGAGTTTTCTGCTCCGCTGCGCAACTGCCCATGCAGAAGGTACTTACTACAACTGCAGCTCGGTGCTCGCTCGCGCTTGTTGTTGGTTCAGTACACTCGCTGCTGCCGATGGCGTCTTTGGGCACCCAACAGGGAGTATGGGGGAACCAGAGTGGTACTGGGGGGAGGTCCAGGCCAGCGAGTGTCAGGAGCTACGGGCATTGGGGGGAACATGGAACTACCTGTAGGCCTGTAGCATCTTGCCTCGGCCCCCACCAATCAGAGCTCGCCACTTGCAGATGTCAGAATCGATGTGGTCGGTGCAGGACACTTGTTGGATGAGGTGGAAGATGCCCTTGTCGCTTGTAAGAAGCGAAGAAGACACAGATTTTGCCAAAGCTGCTGATGCCAAGGCTTCGCGCATTGGCGGCTCCGCTCTCTCCTCCTGCTTTTCGTGACGCCATTCTGAGCTCGCTCGCCACCTCCAATCTACAGCGCTTTGCTTTTGCTCCTCTCTGCGCCCGTCCCTCCTCCCTCCTCCTCCTCCTCCTCCCTCTTCTTTCTGCCCGCTCTAAACTTCAAGCGGCTCATTCTGCAGAATCTTTGATCCCTTACACTTTGCCGCTGGGTTTCTCTAGTTTATTCTCCCTCACTGTTTGTCTGCGCCGCTGCTGCTGCTGCTGCCCGTGCTGCAGGTGGAGTGAAGACAGTGAGCGAATCGAATGGAACCTGTGCTGAATATCTCAAGGCGAAGGCCACCGAACGGGTTCATGGCTTGCGGAATATCTTTGCAAAAAGAATGTGAAAGCTCCGAGGGCACGCCCATGCGTTTCACTTTGTCATCCTTATCGAGAGATGCAACGGCCCCAGGGCAGGGCCCCGGCGAAGGCAGGCGTCCTTGGGCGAGCCTCTCTTCGCATTCAAGAGAACCGTCGAAGCTGTTGGAACCGAACAAGGAGCCCGTGCCCCATTCGCTGCCGGGCTCGCACGAAGAGCTTGTGATTCTGACTCTAGTGAACGCCTAGCGGGCGAGTCCGTGAGGTGGCCTACGTGAACTTCACGGATTTTGGGAAAGACGATGCTCAAATCCAACTGTTATCATGACCTTCTCTCATTATTCAAGCTAGGAATATCTGGAAAGGCCATAAAATTTTCTTCTTTAAGGCCATGTGAACCTACCGGTACTAGCGTTCATGATGACTGCTGCTCCGTTCGTCTGATCGAGGCTAGAAGATGCTAGGGGAGAGAAGTAAATGCTTTCGGAGAGAGAAAGAGGTCTGTGCATAGTTTTTGCAGAGACCTCTTTCTCTCTCCAAATCTACCTTACGTCCCACTTTTGCCCTCCTCGCGTACTCCATTTTGACGTTGAGGCTACCTGCTTGGTCGGTGTGGAGAGCGAGGGTTCCATTGGGGGGATGCACACACTCCCTGGAGCCTCTCCAAAAAGCTAGAGCATCGTACCTCGGATCTGTTTTCAGACAATAATTTCCGGAGCGAGTTCTTGAGATCTGCAGCGTAAATGCTCTCGTGCCAATGATGCTTCCATGTGCACTGTGGTCGATTATTTTCTTACCGGAATGATTAGATGAGGTTCCTGCTGCTTTCCATGTAAACCAAGCGCCTCTGTTTTGGATATGTTACCAATGACATCAGATCCAAATAACAGGGGCGGGCACCGCGGTGGAAAGCAGACCTGAGCTGTTTTATTATAGCGCTTTAAAACCTCTTATCTGTACCTCTCGACTGGCCTTCTCTCCTCTCCTCTCCTCCATGCTCTGTCTCTCCATGCCTCGATTCGAGAGAAGGTTGTTGGGTCAATGTTGGAAAAGCTGGCCGGTCTTCCCACTGGCACTTACTGGATGAATTATTCCACCTATCAAATCCCCCTTGTTGGCAACAGAATAAACAATGCCCCCAGGCTACGAGACGATCCCAATTCAGGGCCCATCATTCAACTGAACCTTATCCGGGATGGACCGCATCCATGTCTCCAACCGGCCGATCAACACCGCTGCGCAGAGTTAGCAGCACTTCGCTCATCTGAACCTGTCGTGTGGAGTCACACGAACCAATTCGTTGCCGATGTTTGCCTCTTTGACTGCGCCAGGGCTCATGTAACTTTGGCGCATTAGCATGTCGTGAGGCTTGCAGATCTTCTTACTGTATCTGGAGTGAAGAATGGAGTGAATCTTTAGTTACAGCTTAAAGGCAGAAGAAAGACTGCTGCTCCTGAGTAAGTTAATCTCTTTCTAGAACTTGGCGCGAAGTTTTATAATCGCCGTATGTGGACCAGCTCAGCTCGGCTCGGCTCGGCTAGTAATCGCAGTTGATTGATGAGAGCCATGTCTTGCAACATTTGGGAAGTCGCATCTGCTGTTGGGAGCAGGTGGATGAACTTTGGGAGAAAGGTATACTTCAGTCCAAGACGAAAATGTTTTGCAGTGTTTAATATTAGCAAGCTCATGCCACTGGCTGTGCGCCGGGGCAGTCAGACCCCAGACCTATTCTGTGGTCCAACGGATCTGCCTCGATGCATATACAGCCTATACCTGCACTTCTCGCACGTTTCTTGTAGCTTCAACAACCACAGCACGATCAACGAGATCTGATTTCTGAAACGCTGCGGGGCTGCAGAACATCCTAGTATCCTCGATTCCAGCTATGACTACTTGACGAGCTCTGCAGACGAGCTGGGCAATCACAACGTCATGATTTGGTATCATGTGGGGATCTGTGAGGCATATTTTGAGGAAACCCGTGATGACGTTCGGCCAAGCACCCAGGTTCCCCACAACGAGTAAGATCCCCCCAGCCTTCCACATCTGACTAGATAAGACTTCCTCCTGGGGTACATCTTTTGGTATTGGGAGCCATCGTCTCTCAAGCTTTGATCGTGGCGGGTAGAGGAAGCACGGTTTGGTGCTCGGCTCCAAGTGTCACGAAAGGAACTTCTCCTTACACTCGTCACCGATCAGACCAGCAACAGAAGTTGACACGATGTTTCACCTAAAGTGTCAAGGAAACATGGGAAAGTGGAAATCATGGGCCTTCTTAGACGATTCATTCGGGCTCTCTGATTTGATCGGATTTAGTTAATGCATGTTCTAGTCATCAGGAAATTTGAACAGATTGAAAATCGGATCAGCAGCGATGCAAGAGGAGAAGTCACGACAAGGTGTTCCAGCAATGACCGTGTCAATGACCCTGACCAATTCCGGAGTGGCAATCGATCGGGCTTGTCCGGATGGATGATTGCTTAATGTCCAAGCCAATTCCAAGAAGAACATGCTGACTTTCTAGATCGCTTGTATGACCACATCAGATGTTGCTAGCTTGCCAGCCGGTATCGTCCTTACCAGACCTACCAGAAAGTACCGTCCGTGCGGTTCATGGGATCGATAGTTTGCATGAAACTCGTCATTTTTGCTTTTGTTAGTAGGATCTATATCTACCTATCCAGCAAGCAAGCAAGCCAGCCAGCCAGCCATCAATATCACAATTCAATAACCCGGACAGACGTCTCTTTTCTTTCATTATGCATCAATGATATTCTTTCATAGCACCTGGTTAAGCTTTTCGACATTCTTTGTCTGGCGTGGTCATTTCATCTCCCTACTGTCCAATTTGATACGTCTATCACCCAAGTAGCTCGGCCCAAGGTAGACCAAACAGCACTGCTATCCAAATTTTTTGGTGTGACTGTACCACGTCTGATCGTCAACTAATCTTGTATGTGGATCAGCTTGAGCTACATCGCACTGATTGCGTACCTTGTGGAGATCATACCCTGCTTACAAAAGACGTTCCCACTCAGACCGGATGCAACAGCTCATGTTGTCGAATGAACCATAAAGTCCGGATCGATGCTAAGCGAGATCTATTGTGTTGGACTGAATAGGAGAAACTTGGCGCCAGATAATTTGCAGTTATCAATATTTGTCGTCCAGTCCAAAACAATTGGATCGACAAAATCAAAAGCAAGCAACAACTTCAAACTAAAATTGGAGCATTCCTCGACACACAAGTACTATACCTTTTCCTACAAACACTCGTTTAGACAGGAACGTGTTGTTCGTGATCCTGTGTCGAAGAGTGTTCACCTTTAGCTTCCAATACTTTATAGAGTGTCTTTAGGAGACCAAAAAACCTTCGTTAGGCTTAGATGATGGGAAGCCCAAGGGATCGACAGCGGGTTCAAGGAGATTCTACGCAGTTCGTGCCGTCGATTGACTCATGTTTTTTTCTCTGGCATTGTCTTCAACCTTGACCGCACTGGCTCCATTAACGACCACCGCCAGTGCCACAAAGATCTAGGCAGAAGTTGGGCTCCACGCCTCCTGCTCCCAAACGAAGACAACTATTTCTCTCCCGCATTCTCCTTCACGTTCTGTCTGATTGGGCACATCCAATCCCAAATAAGAAATGTCTACAGTCATCACGGATGGATGGGAGAGTGTGCCAGACCCAGTCATCTGGGGAGATGAGAGGTGTCCTGTAAGGCAGCAAATATCCTGGCTAATAGCCATCCATGCCGCCCCCCAGAATCTCCGGAAGCAACAGTCTCTACTCCGTTGACGCTGCGACACATGAAAGATAGCTGCTGGATTGAAGGCGGTTTGCGCGTTGAAATCGGAACAACGCTCGGAGCTCGCAGATCTCCCATCGTCGCACAAGTGTCAGGTTCAGACTGCTATGTGATTCAAGCAGAACTCAAACCCACCCTCGGCGATGACTTCGAGTGGCAGATATTTAGCATGCAGTTGACTTCATGGGTTCCCCTGAATGTTCTCCACGCTTTTGGACCTGTGGATCGCAGATCTGTGACTGGGAGGGAAGCGCTGCGAGATGAAGAGTCAGCATCGGCTTTTCAAGATGTTCGGGAGGAAAAAACTACGAGACCGTGGATTCGTTCCACGGGGACTTCCTCCATCTCTAAGTTTCTCCCACATTCATTACTTGTGAACGTACTTACATATTTGTGATGTTGTGATTAGGTCCGCCCCGTCAGTTTCGCTCGATGCTCCAAACTTCAAATGTGCACTTGTCCAGACTCTTGTCAAATGCACTGAAGGTCAGCCCTTTCTCGCATACTCTACTCTGAGTTTCTGTATCTAGACCTTATTTCGAAGTAGCTTTGAAATTCAAGTAAAATGAAGTGTATTTGACATTTGCAATATGAAAATTAAAGTATAAAAAATACAACAATTGTTTGCGTGATGCTTTATTTTTTTAAATATATTTATATAGACAAACTCATCCAAATAAGATTACCATTAATCTTTTATGTTTCATTGAATTTTAAATTAAGGATTATGAAAATTACATTGTAAATGTATGGTCAAAATCATTCATCATTCATTTCTCAAAAAAATTCAAATATGATAAAATACAAATGGATGGAGATTTAAGCACACACAAAAAAACAAGTAAAACTAATAAAAAATATTGGAGATTTTTGCATTGGTTTTTATTCACAAATATTATTTTCAAAACATAATCATGCATGTGCAATACCTCGTCGGACAACGTTATATGATATTTACTTTTTTTTTAAATCATATTCAATCAATATTTTGAAAAGACATGAGTTGTTTGTTGAAGCTATAGGTATCTTAAAAAATTGAATAATAATTGGACATAAAATATATTTTTTCAAGCATAGAGTATAAAATTTGATTGTCAAGTAATAAAATTCACTCATGATCCAATTTATAGAGCTTTTAATATGTGAATCATCGGTTAAATGAGGAGAGATATCAAATTAATCAAAAAAAATATTTCTAACTACACACTAATCTCAAAAACTTTATTTCAAGTAACGATATCAAACTGTAGATTTTAAGACTCATATTTTGTAAAAACTTATGCTAATAAAAAATGTTCTATAATATATTTTTTATAAAGAGATCAAGACTCAATAACATTTCATCAGTAGAACTTGGATATGTGGATATAAATGCATGGAAATCTCATAAGATTGTTTAAATATGCATGTGCAATATAATCTAATCATGATGAATGATTATTTTTTAATCCATTTGTTAACACTGTTGGCTCGAATCTGCATGATAAGGTAACTAGTAATACAATGTAATAAAAATCAATATCCTTATAAAAAAAATTCTTATACGAATAATAATAGATGTTGCATCGTTAAAACTCTTTGATAGCACATACTGAATATTTTTTTTGTCACGCAAAGTAAACTAACACTTGTCCCCTTGTCTTTCACAATTGTTGCAAACACTTAAAATGACTTTGTGAAAGCACTAAAGGATTATCTTACAAAAAGAAATGTGAAAGTTAAAACTTAATCATTTTCAACATTTCCATAAGTAATAATTGTAGAATCATGCATTAAAACTAGTCAAAAGATTTTAGCTCAAGACATAAAAAATATTTAGGACTCCATTTCAATACCTGCAGTAAGAAAATTTCAATGTATGGAGAAAATAATCCATTTTATATATAGATCTTGTCTTCAATTTAAAAAACTACATGTTGTTATATTATAAATTTTAGCTTAGTCTGATATGATACATTATTATCATGTTCAAATCATTGCAAAGCAATCAATAATACAATTCCAATGCTTGATGTGTGGGAAACAAACAAAAAAAAAATGCAGATTGATTTAATCTTTGCCTGAAATTTTCAAATCCAATTATTAAACTTCTTTTGTGAAGCATGCATTTGTTGCAGTATAGTAATGAATGTTAGTCCAATCTTTGATATAACATATATGTACATCTAACAAAAAACCAAAATCATCCTAGTTTATGTCAACAACAAGAAATATTCTCTTTTCAGTTTGTTCAAATTATTCTATATCAAGATATCTATATATATAACTATAAAAAAACATAATGTTACATGTACCTTTTTTTTCCATCAAGGAATTTGATGGAAAAATACGGACAACTACATGTAAATTAAGCTTTCAAACTATATCACAATGTACACAATCGAATTTAACTTTTTTTTAGTAAGAAGTTTTGAAAGCATAATTTAGATTTTATTTGTTAATCATTAAAAAAAAATTGATACATTAGAAAGTTGTTAAATTCATCCCCTAGTTATTAAATTCATTCCCTGTCGCGGGGTACTTGCTCTAAGGATGAAAGCTTGTGAGCAAGTCCTTAAATCAAAATCTGTAGTACTCTCTAAAAATAATTTCATCTCCTTTGCACTTGCACTAAATGAGGAGCTATTTTTTGTACAACCAAAAACATAATTTTTTCTGTAGATAGAGAGAGGGAGGGAAGGAGGCGAAGACAAGCAAATAAAACCTGCAAAGTTTTAATCTCAGGCTCCCTCCGTCACCTGTCAAGCATTTTGGTTTTAAGAAATAATTGACATTTTGCCTGAAAAGGCAAAATTCATTCCAAATGTCAATTTATTCCATTTGACCACAAAAGGTGAGGTATTTCACTCTTTTTTTTGAGTGAAGAATGAAGGGGATGAATTTAATTAATCTGGAATAATTTATTTATTTTAAAGTTCAATTTTTATGTGCATTACATTAAATTACTAGAATTTGATAAATGAATGAAGTAGATTACAAAACTTGTAATAGGTGTAATATTGCACTTTATATATATCGTCACGACACTTTCACTTTGATTGGAGAAGAATTAATTAGGATTTTTTTAATTTGTTATGAAAACACGCATTACATTATAACATAAATTTAGAACACATCAAATATCACATTATATATATTGAAAAACATTGTACAAGTACATTGAAATTTTTTTATTTTCAATTATTTAATAAATACATCATTGATAATCATAACATACAAATAGTTAAAATTTTAAAAATTACTTCTTTTAATTTTTCAAGATCATAATCTCATTGAAAAATTTTCTTTTAAAAAAATTTAATTTTTATAAATTCTTGAACTCATCTCTTACAATTTAATTTTTAAAGATGTTTTATATATTTTATATTTTTCAAAATAAACATGATAAAAGTTCATAATTGGCTTGAATCATTGTACCTTTTTTTACATATGCATATATTCTTAACTGAAGATGATGTTACATACATGATCATAATTATTTGAATATTTTTGTTAAATATTGATTATTGTCTTTCATTTATAATTTATTTGCTAGATGACATTTTTAAAATATAATGAGATTACTCTAATAGACTTGATAAAAATTTGAATTGGATACTTAATAATCTCAAGATGCAACCTATATGACAAAAAACATCAACTAATATTTGTTGTACTCCATGTGATTGTTGTTGTGATAGATTTGCTATGATTATTCACAATATTCATGTGTATCTTTTTCACATGAATTGTCATGAATTGCAAGATAACAAAGTCAGCATATGGATAACATGATTTATCACACATCACTATATGAGGTTTCAAGTCAAAAATTGAAAATGTAGAGCACGATGGACTACACGTTATGTATTTCATCATGCATATCTGTCCACTTGCAAAATCAAACTCTTATACCTCATCAATTTACAAGTGGCCAATAACTGTAAAATTCCAGAAAACTTGAAAAAAAATTACAATATATTATAAATTCTTACCTTTCTGTTGAATTTCAAGGTTTTCAACTATATCTCAATAGAAGAATGTAAGAAAAAAATAATGAAAAAATCACAGATTCACGTGTCCATTTTGAGCAAAATCACTCAAATTTCTTATAAATTCATACTTGCGTGCATTTTTCTTTAAAATTTTTTGTCTTGTTTAATCTAGATAGCATGGAACCGAGTATGAAACAAACAAAAAGTTGAGTCTCTCGTATTTGTCAAAGTAGCATAATAACAACCCTTCAATGGATGAAAACAGTTTTTGGCCGCTTGCCAAAATCAATGATTCTCGCTTCAACAAGAGTTTGTTTCATACTCGGTTCCATGCTATCTAGATTAAACAAGACAAAAAATTTTAAAGAAAAATGCACGCAAATATGAATTTATCTTGAAATTTGAATGATTTTGCTCAATTTTGCTCAATGTCGCATGCATGTCGCTTTGGGTCTTGCAACAAACTTTATGACATTATATTACAACAATAGAGTCCGGGGCTTCAAAGGAGTACGTTTGGCGGGGTGAAAAGAGTGACAGAATTTATGGCGGCATTCAACAACTGTAGCGGAGGCCCATCTAGCCGATGTCTAGATTATGGCATCCACAATAATCTAAAGCTCAGGGTTTTAGAACTCAAGAGTTTTACCTCATCAATTAGTTTCAACAAGAGTTTTAGATTATTGTGGATGCCATAATCTGGACATCGGCTAGATGGGCCTCCGCTACATTTGTTGAATGCCGCCATAAATTTTTGTCACTCTCTTCACCCCGCCAAACGTCCTCCTTTGAAGCCCCGGACTCTACTGTTGTAATATAATGTCATAAAGTTTGTTGCAAGACCCAAAGCAACATGCATGCGACATTGGAAACATTGCAAACAGAGAGCACTTTAGAAGGCTCAAAGACCATAACTTGAAGTGAAAGAAATATCACTCATGTGCAACTGTTTTGGAGTAGCTCGTCAAATAAAATAAAATTTACATATAATGTCGTGATCCATATGCCAACTGCCTCACTCATACAGCTTAACACTTGAGCTAGAAGCAGCAAGTCTTCGAAAGGAGCATAAGAGTTCCAAAACTTTTCATTCGATTCCATGTGATGCAAAGGCAGAAGAAGGTCAACCCTAATCTTCTGCAGATAAATGAAAGCCAAAAAGCTTATCAACATCTCCCTCCTTGTCTGCCACATCTTCTGCCATTGCTGTAACTTAAAAACAAACTATTGCAACTCGTGTAAAAAGTGTAAAACAATGTTGTTGTAGGTCCACTAGTTGTAGTTGGTGTACATGAAAAATCCTCAAGAGCCATGCGGGAGGTGGCCCTGTTACCAGACCACGATCTTCCTTTAGATACAATAGTATAAATTTAGCCACTGAATGCAGCCGTTTCAAAGATATAGAAAGATAGGTTGACGTCAA